AGTCTGCTTTTAAACCCATCTGGTAAATTTTTAAATTTCAGATAGTATGGGAACGCCTGGGTGGCTCAGTTGGTTGGACAACTGCCTTCGGCTCAGATCATGATCTTGAAGTCCTGGGATCGAGTCCCACATCGGGCTCCCAGCTCCATGGGGAGTCTGCTTCTCCCTGTGACCTTCTCCTTGCTCATGCTCTCTCTCACTGTCTCTCTCTCAAATAAATAAATAAAATCTTAAAAAAAAAAATTCAGATGTATACTTTGAAGTCGTAGAATTTTGGTTCATTTTGGGTTTTCATTTTTCTGGTGAAAATTTCTGTCTGTTTATCCATTGTGATTGTATGTTTCATTTAAGATGTTGAATATTATAGCTTCTATAAAGCCTTTATAAGCTGGTTCCCATACTAGATCATCTTAGGACCATTTTCTACTGGTTCTTTTTTCTCTTGACTCTGGGTTCCATTTATCTGCTTCTTAAAGCCAGCAGTTTTTGATTATATAGTGGACATTATAAATTACTCATTGCAGAGACTCTGGATTCTTTTATCTTCTGCTGATTAACTTACTGACTGATCACTGTGACTTCACAGACTGTTGGTTTACATTTGTTAGGGCAGGTATGTTTTGATTTTTCCCATGAAACTAAGGTAGAGGCTTTACTCCTAAGGCCTGCTGTTTACTCTCGATGCAGGGTCATCCCAAGTTTTTAGTGAAAGTTTGAGATGCCTGTTAAGTTCCTATAATTTAGTGGGAATCAGAATCTAAATTCTGTCTCCCCTCATGGGCAACAGCTTCAGTCCCTACCCCAGTCTTTCAGTCTTCTCTCACTTTCCATTGGAATCCTTATAGTCACCCATTCATTTATGTAGTTTGGGGATTAGCCATGGATTAGAGGAGAATTGAGCCTCCCCTGTGGGTCTGTTTTCTATGCTTTCTCAATCTTCAGCCACTGTGGCAGCCCTGAGCTCCATCCTTTGGCATATCAAGCCAATAAACTAGCTTTCTAACTGAATTTTAGTCACCCTGCATCGAGTAGATTGGTGAGTACCCTCAGGGAAAAAGCACATATACATGGATGTTACCCTGTGTGTTGCTCCTCTTTGAAGGTCAGTCTATTCTCAGTCTATTCTTCCCCTCAGTTTCTTACTACTTTAGGTCATTCTCCAGTGCCTTTAAGTAGTTCTTATTAAAATTTTTCCCTATGGTTTGTAATTGTTACCTTATGAAGGTTAATCCCATGTAAGCATCTCTGGCATTATTAGAACTTGAACTCTTCGGCTTACATTTTTTATGTTATTCAGTATATACCAATCACTTCATAAATGTCTTTTAAAAACATAGGAAGTTTCATCTAAAAGCTTTTATGTTGTCTATACCTGAATAATAAATGTTTGTAGTATTAGTAGTTGCAAAAAAGTACTGAACCCTGAGCCCAGAAGATACGTGCACTAATAGCTGCTATACACAAAGGTCAGATGATCCAGTTTATTCCTTTAAAATATGTTTTGGGTATGCCTGGGTGGCTCAGTCCGTTAAGCTTCTGCCTTTGGCTCAGGTCATGATCCCAGAGTCCTGGGATCAAGTCCTGCGTCAGGCTCCCTGCTCAGTGGGGATTCTTCTTCTCCCTCTGCCTGTCACTCTCCCTGCTTGTATGCTCACTCGCTCGTGCTCTCTGACAAATAAATAAATAAAATCTTTAAAATATGTTTTGAAATAATTTCAGCTTAAATTGTGTAAGAATAAAACAGTTAAGTGGTTATAAATTTCTCAAAGTTTAATTTGAATGGAAAACAATTTTATAATACTTTTTCTCCATTTTCTTAAATGTTTTTACCTACATCTTTCCAAAGAATGATAATTGACCAAAATGAATAGCTCATCCATTGCTGACATAAATAATAGGAGAAATCATAGCTTTTCCTCACAGAAAAATAATTCCATTTAATAAATGTGGAAGGAAAGCAGGAAATCTAAAAATCACCATCAGAACACCACAGTGAAAATTATCATAGGCAAGATCCACCGATGGATGCTAAAATTAGCAGGCAGAAGTTGAAGTAGAATCCAAGTATTTGCATCATCTCAGAATATTTCTCCCAATATATTTCGTGATTCCTAAAGGAAAAATAAAAAACTTACAGTGGAGAATCTTGGCAGACATGACCATAGGCATATGATAAAGTCTGACATCACTAGAAATACTTAACAACCTGCCTCCTAACTATATGTGTTGAGAAAAGTGCATCACCTTTGTGGTATCCTTCCCAATAATGTATAACCTTCATCTGATCATGAGAGAACATGAGACAAAGCCAGATTGAGAGACAATATATAGACTAATCAGTACTCTTCAGAAGTGTCATAGTCCTAAAAGATAGGACTGAGAAATTGTCATAGATTAGATGAAACTGAAGAGACATGATAACTAAATTCAGTGTGGCATCTTGGGTTAGATCCTGAATAGAAAAAGGATCTTAGTGAGAATTGGTGAAATTCAGAAGAAATTCTTTATTTTGTACCAAGTTAATTGTTTAGTTTTGATAAGCATTCTGTGGTTATGTAAGTCATTAACATAAGGGAAAGCTGGAGGGAAGGGTATACAGAAACTCATTTTACAACTATTCTGTAATTCAGAATTTTAAAAAATTGATTTTTTCCTATTGTTGCTTATAAGAGATTGCCTATGTCTTAAGATTTTTCTCTTTAATTCCAGCACATATAGTTCTCCAACATTGTAGTTCTCAAAAAGTGTTCCTAAACCAAGAGCATTAACTTCAACTAGGGAATTGTTATAAAAGCATTCTCAGAAGCCTGAGGGTAGGACCTAACAATGTGTACACTGGGGGGGGGGGGGGCCCTTTTTTTTTTTTTTTTTCTTCAGATTTTATGATTTTATTTATTTATTTACTTACTTACTTATTTACTTACTTTTAGAGAGAGTGAGCAAGTAGGGGGAGGAGCAGAGGGAAAGAGAATCCAAAGCAGACTTCATGCCAAAGCACAGAGCCTGATGTGGGGCTCTATCCCATGACCCCAGCCAAAATCAAGAGTCAGTTGCCCAGGGGCGCCTGGGTGGCTCAGTGAGTTAAAGCCTCTGCCTTTGGCTCAGGTCGTGATCCCAGGGTCCTGGGATCGAGCCCCGCATTGGGCTCTCTGCTCAGCAGGGAGGCTGCTTTCTCCTCTCTCTCTGCCTGCCTCTCTACCTACTTGTGATCTCTGTCTTTCAAATAAATAAATAAAATCTTTAAAAAAAAAAAAAAAAAAAACAAGTCAGTTGCCCAACCTACTGAGCCACCCAGGCACTCCAACATTCTGTGTCTTAACAAGTCCTCCTAATGATTCTGATGCATGCTAAACTTTGAGGATCATGATTTATACAAACATGAAGGAAAACTTAAAAACGTTGTTTTACTATATTGGCCAATTAATAATGTTTGCTTACCATGAAGTGTAACCAGTTTTTTAAATTGTGATAAAATACATGTAACATAACATTTACCATCTTAACCATTTTTAAATGTACAGTTCAGTGGATTAAGAACATTCACATTGTTGTATAACTGTCACAAACATCCATCCCCAAAACTCTTCTCATTTTGTAAAACTAAAACCCTCTACCCATTAAACAGTAATATCCTATTTCTTCTCCTAGCTCTGGCAACCATCATTCCAGTTTCTAACTCTCTGATTTTGCCTCCTCTTAAGTATTTCTTTTTGTTTTTTTTTTTTTTAAAGATTTTATTTATTTATTTGTCAGAGAGAGAGGGAGAGAGAGCGAGCACGGGCAGACAGAATGGCAGGCAGAGGCAGAGGGAGAAGCAGGCTCCCTGACGAGCAAGGAGCCCGATGCGGGACTCGATCCCAGGACGCCGGGATCATGACCTGAGCCGAAGGCAGCTGCTTAACCAACTGAGCCACCTAGGCGTCCCTTAAGTATTTCATATAAGTGGAATCATATAGTATTTATCGTTTTGTGACTGGCTTATTTCACCTACCATAATGTCCTGAAGGTTCATTCATATCATAGTATAAGCCAGAATTTCCTTCCTTTTTAAGGCTGAATACTATTCCACTTGATGTATATGCCACATATGTCCCTGGACACTTGGGTTGCTTCCATGTTTTGGCAGTTGTGAGTAATGCTGCTAGGAACATGGATATACAAATAACCTTTTCAAGATTCTGCTTTCATTTCTTTTGGGTATATACCCAGAAGTGATATTGTTAGACCATACGGTAGTTCCAATTTTAATTTTTTGAGGAACCACCACCATGCTGTTTTCCACAGCAGTGTATGTATGCTTATACATTCCCACCTGCTGTGCACATTGGTTGCAGTTTCTCCACATCCTTGCCAACACTTGCTGTTTTCTGTTTTTTAATAGCAGCCATCTTGGGGGCACCTGGGTGGCTCAGTGGGTTTAAAGCCTCTGCCTTCGGCTCAGGTCATGATCTCAGGGTCCTGGGATCGAGCCCCGTGTCAGGCTCTCTGCACAGTGGGGGACCTGCTTCCCTTCCTCTCTCTCTGCCTGCCTCTCTGCCTGCTTGTGATCTCTGTCTGTCAAATAAATAAATAAAAATATTTTAAAAAAATAGTAGCCATCTTAGTGGGTATGAAGTGATATCTCATTGTGGAATTGATTTGCGTTTCTGAAATGGTTAGTGATGTTGAGCATCTTGTCATGTGCTTCTTGGCCATTTGTATATCTTCTGTGGATAAATGTCTGTTCAAGTCCTTTGCACATTTTTGAATAGCACCCCCACCTTCCATATGTAGAGAGAGACCACTGCTGCTTACATACTTGTTCATGAGCTCATCAGTGGCTCTTGTGGGCTCTCACTTTCTTTTGCTTCTACCTGCCTGCCTTGTTTCCAGTACCCATAAATCTGGAATTTATACGTAAGTCTCTTCATGTGTTGATTTTGAGAATAGGACAAAACTTGAAAACTGTATGTGACCACATTTTAATATTTAAACCTGTTTCTAAAAAATTGTCTTTACAGACCTATAACAGCTGTGCCAGGCTCTGCTTAAACCAAGAAACAGTATGTCTAGCAAGCACTGCTATGAAGACTGAAAATTGTGTGGCCAAAGTAAGTAATATTACCCATTAGTAGTATTATACTACATCATAACAATGCTTTATTTATAAACATCTTCACTCAGTATTATTGTTAAAGATTATCACAGGATTTTATATTTAAAAAGGAGTACATCAGGTATCATTTCCAAAGCAGACAGCAAGTTGAGTCTCCCATCTCTTCAGTTGTAAAGGAATTTTTTGGTTATGCATTCTGGTCACACTTCTAACTCACATTTGTTACTTGACACTGGTTATGGATTATTACAAATAAGATTTGTGAAAGAAAATATACAGTTATTTTTATAAGGTTGTTTATGGGTTCTAAATGTAATTAAGTATAGAATAACCATTGTAAGGATTGTGAAGTATGCTATAGAAAATTCAATTATTATATCGCTATTACTATTTTTTGGGTGGTCAATAATAGAAATACTGCTTTTGTTGATTTTGATCTGAGTAGACAGGTATGTTTTATCATGCATATGAGCTGCATTTTCTCATGTATAAAACATGTGCATATATATAGATAAAAAAGTAATCACATGTTAGAGACCTTATGGTCTAATAATTTTATTAAGTATGGCTCTAATCTTCCAAGTATCTCTAATTACATAGGAACTTTGACTTAAATTTAGGTAACAGCAATTTTGATTATTCTAGGAGTAAGTAAAATTCCGGTATGGGCTGTTTCTAGACTTTTACCTTGCATATATGCAAAATTACTGCCTTAATAACTATTCAGGGTTTTGTCACTGTTAGAACATTCCCAACTTTAACTAGTTTAGTCTATTTTATTATACACTAAGGCTCTCAGTTACTTACTGTTATTATTAGAGTTGGAGCTGGTAATCAGGTAGTCTCCATCATTTGCTACAGAAATCAAAGGACATCTCCACATTTTTTATTATTTTTAGTTTATTTCTTAAGATATGCTGTAGTCACCGGACCTACTTAACCAACTGAAAGTATATCATACAAACTATAACTGTTAGAAATGATCCACGTAAGAAATGTCAGTTTATTTAAAATTATAATTTAAAAAGATAGTTAAGTATCTCTTAGAGTTTCTTAGTAATTTGCTATAAAATGTGAAAACAAGAAATTACATATATTTATTTTTTTCAGTCATGTAGTCACAACCAGCAAGTGCTAATTGGCCCTGTTTTGTATCCAGCATTTGTACATTAAAATGGGGTATCAATTATTTGGGCCTTTAAAAATAATTCTCCTTTTTGGCTACGTTGCTCAGTTTCATCACAAGTGGGTGACTTCTGGCTAAACAAGGTAAAATCTTAGCATGAGCACCGATCCAAGGACGGGGTGACAATTTTAATGAGTTTCATTGAGAGCTAGCCAAGTGAGCATCTGTTCCTTTTGTTTTCTCCATACTTTGTAAGCCAGGGTCTCTAAGCTATAGAGTCATGTTGGTGTGTGTACGATGTGTTTTGTTTTGTTTTTTTCCCACCCTCTACTTCAGTGGTGCATGGTTAGAAATCTTCTGGCATCTGGCACAATGGCATAATTTCTTCCATGCTCTTGGGTGAGGAAACAAGTTTGCTCATTGCTGCTCATCTGTCTGTTTCCTTTGCTCCCAGATGGTGACCCTCTCATCCCATTCTTGCTTATTTTAACATTATTCTGACACCACATCCTTTCATCATGTCCTTTAATACCCCAATTTAATAATGATTTCTTTCATTTCCTATTGGAACCCACCTAACTTTCTGGGGTCAATGGCAAATAAAAGCATGTAGCTAAAAAAAATTTGTTTCTTTTAACAGCCTCCAGTGAGGTATCAATAACATGAGAATAGAGAACAAGTTTTCCCTTTTCTATTTACATGTGTTATATGTATCTCATGATTCTGTGCTGTTTCCACTGGCCTCATGTATTGCTTGACCTTTGAAAGGTAGTGACTTGCCATTATTTTTGTAGGTCTGCAAGCTTGTCCCTGTTTCCTGCTCTTCACCTTTAGCCCTTAACTGAAGTGTTTCATCTGCTACACTTGATATGGCTGCAGTAGCTTTTTGTTTGGTACAAGTGTCTATTGTTGATTCAGATTGTACTCCAAAGTGGCCTTGAATGTCTAACCATCTCCATGTGAGAGCAACTATAATATAGTGATATCAACATTTTTGTCCTCTAGTTCAAAGGAGCTAATTCAGAGTGACTTTGGTTTGGTGGAGATAGTCACTATTATTATTGAATATTGTTTATTATGAGTTTTAGAGAAGACATTAATACCAGTCATTCCCTGAAAAACAGCAAAGTTGTTTTGTTCAGACCTTATAGTACGTAGTATGTGTCTCTTCTTGGCCAGAAATACCTTACCATGAATGTTTTATAATTGGTCTATGAAGAGGGACCCTTCTGTACTGTTTAGACAATAACAAAACAAAGTGGTAAGACAAACTACAGTCACTCTAGGTTAATGATAATCTTCTGAATCTCTAACTTGAAGAATGAGACCTAAGAAAAGTTTTAAAACTAAAAAATGAAGGATGGGTCATTTTATCAGTGTTAACTTAGTCTAAGTAATATTTGGAGGCATTGAAACATCTTTTCTTTTCATCCAAAGCCTTCCTTCTTATTAATTATAGCCCTGTAGTTCATGAGACTTGTTTGGAGCATGATGAGCTCTGTATTTATTGTAGCTTTAAATGGACAGTCATTATTGACTACCAACTTAGTCTTTAAAATCAATAATCACATTGTACCTAATTGTCAACCTTGATGATGTTTTTTAATTGGTAAAGAAAACCAATAGAAAAATGAAGAGCATTAATTTTTTATATTCTCTTTTTTGCTTACTTTATTTAAATACTACCAAAAATTTTGGTTTCAGGTTTTTCCCAATTTACTTTTTACACATGCATGCGCAGAATTAAAATTAAGTTGTTTAAATGCATCTACCTAGATTCCTGCCCAGGTAGGAGAAGTTCTGCCTCTTTATGTTGGGAAAATAAACCTCTTCAGTAGTCCTTTGTAGATGTTCTGTATTGTGGTTTTTGTTGTTACTGTTTTTTACTTGAGACTAATAATCTGTTTGCAACTGACTGAGACAGAAAAATGTGATGTTCCTTTCCACTCACTCCAGATTTTGATAGAAGACTTGTTTTATTTATTTCCAAAATTATATCCGCAGGAAACAAGCTGTTTAAATTCAGATTATGCTGAAGCAAAATGGTCCTGGTATGAGAAGCAACGTGCTGTTTTACGAGCACAGAGTCCCTTTTCTCATAACTGATTGATAGTAAATATTTTCCTGAAGAATTATTGCCAACCATGAACAGTGCAACTGTTTCACTTTTTTTCCGTGCTACTTGCTGTACCAGCCATTGTCGGTAATTAAGATCTACAATTCACAATGCAGACGTTTGCACTTCCTCTGGGTCTGTGCTATTTATAAGGCATTTCAGCTGTTCAGAGTTTCTTTTGAGTTTTAAACTACATGTTAACAGGCTTCTTTAATATACTGTTCCACAAGTAGCATGTCAGATGGGCCATTCTTTGCACGGGGCTCTCTTTCAGGTCTAAACATTAGCTTTGTGGAGAATATGTTAAGATTTAACCATGTCATCGAGGCCAATGAGGTTAGAAAAACTCTGGAATGTAACATGTTACACATTAGCATATTGCTATTTCCAAAAGGCAGGAATAAGTTTCAGAAGTACTATTTTTTTTCTTTCATTTTCAAATGTTCATATGATTTTAATGAGTGTTAACGGGACTTACGGAGAACGTCTGAGAAACACTAGTCAAGTGACTTTTCCCAGCTCACTTTGAGGTAATAATCAAGGATCATTGTTATAAACAAGCGTTTGTGTGTTTGTCAGGTTAAGGATTCAGGAACACATAACCTCCTGGATGTGTATTATATTTAGGAATACAGATGTGGGATACCAAAATGGATCAGCAGATGGACTGCACATTTGTTGTATGATCATCTTCAGGAACCCTAAGTAGCATACACCATTGGAGAGGAAAGTGTGAATGGGAATCCTGGTCTGTATTAATTTGGTAAAATTGAAAATCATTTTCAGCTATTTCAAGAGAGTTAATTTCAAAAGAAAAAAAGTGAGTATTATGTCCTTGAGTGAGAGAACTGCTTGCACAGTCTCCTTACTTCCTGCACTCATTGCTAAACATGTAGGAGAAAGAAACAAGAAGCAGAAAGCTGTCAACAAAATATGTGTAAAACTTTGCCATGAGTGGGAATCAGACTGGCTATGTTAAGCCTGAAGTCAGCTGTGTTGATTCTGCATGTCGGCTGCCAGTGTCTTCCAGCAGAGCAGATCTGCAGAGAAAGGCGGACGCGGGTTTCCATGCCGATTCTTGATGGGCCCTTGAATGTAGACAGAGCTTCAAACAAAGCCTTTCCAAGGCAGTTTTATCTGCCAGAACCTGGAGATTTCTGTAGTTCTTTAGAACTACAGTGTTTCTATAAACTTTTTCCCTCAGTGAACTCTTTATGAACCTTTTTTAAAGATAGCAGCAGTGGTTCAACTGTTGGGAACCACTGATCTATCTGACTGAGGCACTTCAAGATGCTAGAACCTATTCCCATTTCTATCTAGCCAGGGAGCTAATAAGATTAAGTTTGTCTTTGTGGATTGGTCCAGATTAGCAGGAGTTGAGCCCAGTCAGTGTTTTCCTCAGTTGAAAAACTGAAAGGTTGGGAGAGAGAGGGATGAAGGAAGAAAGTTCTTCATCAAGAATTGACTGCAGTATTGCCTGCTGATGCATGTCGGATCGCCCGCATCGAGAGATCACATGGCTTCTCCAAAAGTCAAACGATCAATTCGCCTCGTTTTGGCTCTGTACTTAATGCACAAACAGTGCGATCTGCGGGGCTGTAATTGCATTGTTAGGGCCAAGGAACAAGCCTGTGCCTTTTCAGCAGACAGCTGGCAGGGAGAGAGGCATGTTGTTAGGAAAGAGAGAGGCAAGGCAAATAAAATTACTGCTAACGCTCAGAGATCGGCAGGAGTCCTACTTGCCTAATCTTAC